CTCGTCTCCAGAATCTCCCCCCCGAAACTGCCACGTGTCACCTCCCAGTTTGACGGCTTGAGAGCCGCCGACTTCAGCCGTTGGTTTAATGCATGTTCACACTTGACCGAGGTGTCGCCACCAATGATTGGGTGCCGTTCGCAGAGATTTACAGGTTGGTCGCGCACATGCGCGCGCAGTGCTCTGAGTCCCTAGTGAGTCTGTGAGGTCAGGAGGTTTTTGAGGTAACACTAGCTCTAACGAGGCAAGTCCAACAAGCGAAGTCAATGAGCCACATGCAAATGGGAATCTTGGCTGGAACTTCCAAATCAACCCCAGAACATCGAGATCCAAGAATCCGGCCGCGCCCATCACCGTTAACACGTTATTTCCTCTCCGCTTCAGAGTGCACGGCATTAGGGTCCGGCAGCCTCCGCTTTAGTGCGGCCGGACGGTCGCGTTTGCCACTGGCCCATTCCCAAGCAAAAGCACTTCTTCGACTGCTTCGAACCTCGCTGCACGTAGGGACTCTGTATTTGAGCACATTCGGACCCTCCACACACCCCTGCAGACGTGAACCTTAGTATCTCTCGTCTTTTACTCAGTACCAGAGAAGGTTTTTTCGACAGCCTTTTCCCCTGTCATGTTGAGGCTCCCCCACTCTTGCAGCCGCTCAAAGCTGATCAGGGAAGCGTCTGATAGCTTCAATCTTTTACGGCAGTGACTGCGTTGATGCAGTGTACGAAGGAAGAGATAAACGCTTTCCGAAACTACTTTTTTGAAGAGTGAGCGCAATTGAAATGCGGTAAACGTATGAACGTAGAGCCATTCAAATCCCCGTAGGGGAGTGACTCAAGCGAAGAGTATTTTTCCGAAGGGGATTGGAGGGAAGAGTCCCTGCCCGAAAGGGATTGGATCGAAGCCGGGAGCTCAAACTTTCTCGTTAAAAAGGAAAAACACAATCAACTTGAGTTAGGCGCTTCGGCGCACTCGCGCTCGTCCACGTACTCGATCCTCGTTCTCCCCCACTCCGACTATCGGCTTCTGTACGGTGGAAACCTTATTTGTGTACATGCTGTCAATACACCTTCAGATAATTCGATGCTGCTGTCGCCCTTCTAGATGTTGCAAAATGTAAACGATGCTGCAATAAAACACACGGTGTCATGTTTTTGAACTGGACCCCATCTTCGAAACGCACGAGTGAAGCGGGACCGAGGGCTTGACACTCAACTTGAGCGACCGGCTGTATCGAAAGTAATCGGCGGGAGTAATCGAGAGGCCGGTCCGGGTGGTGGGAGCAGCTTGGGTTACCTTCCTTTGTAAAGGCCGGACATTAGCTGGAGGCGGGGATGTGCAAACGCTAAAAACCCTGAAACTGCAAGGGCGCCCGGACCCCGAGCTTCGAGACACTCCAAGGGCGACTCAATATCCAGTTGGTCTGCATCTGGCGGGGCATCTCGCTTGATCATAGCCTTTCCGCCCGTGCGCTCTAACCTCGCGCGGGGCCGACTCCGCACACTCCGCGCCGGGGGCTTGACGTCATCAACGGCACAGGCTAGGAGGCGCCCGGGGACGGATCATAAGTACTTGCCAAGGGGGCGCTGCGAGCGTCCTGAAGGCGGTCTACAGGTTGGGCCTGGCGACCGTCAGGCAGGGTGAAGTCTGGCTTGCAAGAAGATACCGTTCCTCATTAAGAGACTGACTAAGTTATTTGCCAGCCTGGTTAGCTAGCTTGAGGGATTGATCGTTTTGACTTCCTGTTAGCTAGGGCCTGTACTGAACCAGAATCCTATCGGAGAAGTGCGAACACTAGATCTCACATCTTTAATGACGTCACTAAGCACTTCATGGTGGTTCAACCACCGGAGTTTGTCGGCTTACAAGGGGAAAGATCACGCCCAGCTTCATAGTGCAAAAAATGAAGGCGCGGCCCGCCATCCGGGGCTGCTCAACGTACTGACGGCGTAAATAAAGTTATAAAGTACCTAACTTATCCCCGCAAAGGCCGCGCCGCGGCCGCGCCTTCCAGGCTGAGGTACTTGAGGGGTACTTGAGAGTCACGTAATAACTGAATTGCCTTTATCAGATGGAGACCCAGTCAAGAAAAAGGTGCTCATTGGCCCCTTTTGCTCGACGACCTCGACTCGTTACAGAGCGCGGCCGCGCCGGCTTTCATCATCATTCTGCATGTACTCAGTGCGGTCTGCGTTGAGATTCTGTGAGTCTCACGGTACATGCATATATATACGCAACATATGTGCCGCCTATTTAGACGTTGAGGATACATACCCGTGCGAGCTATAATCTGGCCCAGATCCCACACTTGACATCACTTGATGCAGATAATGTAACGGCACGACTGCGCACCGACTTCCTGCTGCGCGCCAAACTCGCGGCCGCGCACCGTCCGTTATTATACGCTATCGACTTATTTGATATATCCAATCACTACACGACACGTGTCTGGGTTACTGCTTCACCGCGTGACCGTCCGATAAGACCCACGTGCACCGCGTGCAAGGGAACCGTCCGATAAAGCTTTCGAGACTAAGCTTATGGCCGGCCGAGCACCGAAGCTTCTAGGCTGACACTTCGCGCTGCAGACTCAGACTCTTATGCGAAGCTTCTAGATATAAGATCTGTGGT